CGCGGGCCTCCCCGCAGGGAACCCGCAGCTCCCCCCGCCCCTGGCCGTGCGGCGGTCCCGCTGGCACAGCGCCCCCTACACCAGGGGCTCCTACAGCTACGTGGCGGTGGGCAGCAGCGGGGAGGACATCGACCTGCTGGCTCAGCCCCTGCCTCTGGACGGCGAGGAAGCCCAGGCCCAGGTAGGCAGCGTAGGCTGATGGGCGGCGGGGCCCTGACGCAGGGGTGCCCCGTGGGTTTTTTCATGGGGTGGTCCCGTGGTGGTGCTCCATGGGGGTGCTCTTGTGGGGGCGCTCCGCGGGGCTGCTGGGCGCACGGGAGGCAGAGCCCTTGACTCAGGACACTCCCAGAAGTCATCTTGAAAGGTGGGGTCCTGGGGCCCTGCAGACGGGACCTGCCCCTCCGGCGTCCGCCCCTCAGGTTCACCTGTGCCACTCACTCGCCCCCACCCCCGTCCTGGCGCTTCCCAGCAGCCCCCTTGGGGCGTGGAGGCACCGCCATCCCGGCTGCCGTCCCCCGTGTCGCTTAGACGCCGCCATCCTCGCCCCTCGGGCCTTGCCCCGGACTGCTCCCTGGGACGGCACTCCCGAGGGGCGCTGGGCGTGGGGTTCCGGCCCCTGCTCTGGCCCGCACGGTGCCATGGGCCGGGCGCCCCAAGGGCGTGTGAGCGTGCAGTGCGTGTGCACGCCTGGCGGGCTCCCGGCTCCGCTGGCGGCACCTCCCGCCGCTGCCTGCCGGTCAGCTCTGCTTCCAGGCCCCCGGCCCCCCCAGGCGCAGGCCGGCCCCGGGCCGGTGTTTGCAGCCGACTGCGCCATGGCAGGCTGCCCTGGCAGAGGCGGCTCAGCAGTCCCGCCCCGCCCCTCGCCTGCGCCTGCGCAGGGGCGTCCCGACGCCCAGCTCTGCCTTCCCTGGGCTGAGGCCCTGGCGGACTGTCCCACCCCCTCCCGGACTTGCGTGTCCGCGTGTGCTCTGACCCTGTGTCCTCGGGCTGCAGCCGCCCCGCCCCCACTCACCTCCCAGGGATTCCTCCCGGGCTTTCGGAGCGGGCGTCCGGGCCGGGCCTCGTCTTCCCGCCCCCCCCTCCCCGGACGCCCGTGCCCACCCTTCTCCGCAGCTGCAGGTGCTGTTCGCGGGGGAAGCCACGCACCGGACGTTTTACTCCACCACGCACGGGGCGCTGCTGTCCGGCTGGAGGGAGGCCGATCGGCTCATCGCGCTGAGGGACCCGCAGGCACAGCCGGCGGCGCCAGGGCGCTGAGCCCCCACCGGCCGCACCCGCGCCGCCTCCCGAGGGGCGGGCTGTCCCTCTGGCTGGGGAGGCTCAGCCCGGCTTCAGGTTTGGGGTGTTGGTGACCGCCTCCTGCTGGAAGCCAAGCGGTCAGCGCTCACGTCTTGCCATGCAGCCAGCGAGCTCGGGGTGGGGTGCTGCTGGCGTGCGCCCCATAAAGGCGTCCACCCGTGCCCGCTGTCCGTTGTCCTGTGTCATTTTGCCTTCAGGCGAGGGCTTGGCCCTCTGTCCCCTTAGCGGGAGGCCCAGCTTATGCAGATCCTGCGCTTGGCGCCCTCGCTCCAGGGCCACGGGCTGCCCTGTCCTGCTCCAACGGGCCTTGGGGCCTCCTGGTCAACCAGGCCCCTCAGAGCTGTGGGCTGGGTCTGACTCTGTAGGGGCCGTCAGGGTGAGCGGTGGTGGTTTTTGCTGAGATCCTGGGGGCTTCTCGTGAGGGGGGCTGGGGAGTGAAGAGCCTTAATAAGTTTTGTTTAGCAGAACTGTCAGTTTTGGGGAAGCTTTTTTTTCTTCTGAAGATTTGTTTAAGCATACAAGAGCTGGGGTGCAGGCCAGAGATGGGCGGTTGAAAGGGTTCCCCAGAGACGAAATGGGGAGCAGAGCAGGCAGATCCACTGAAGTCCACTGCTGAGGGTGATGTCGCTCTTGGAGTTCGTGGGCCCGGAGTGCGGGCCCTGGGGTTCACGCGGGGACAGGTGTCCCCAGGGCTCCCCTTCCAGCGGCCCGGGGCGGCTCCCGGCGAGTGTCTCCCCGGGAAACAGACCTGCAGGTTCACCAGGGCCGGGCGGGTCAGGACACTGACGGAAGGGTGGGATGGACGCAGCAGCAGGCCGGCGCCCCCCTGGGGGGCTGGGGGGACCCCAGGGCTGCTCTCCTAGCCTTGGGGCTGCGCTCCACCCGCCCATCTGCTCCCTGCTGGGCCCCGGGGCCCCGAGGCTGGGCCCTGTGGCGGGCAGGGGCCTCAGCTCCGACTCAGCCTGGCGACGCCCCGGCCGCCCATCCTCGGCAGGGCAGCGGGGTCAGGAGGGGCCTGCGGCGCCAAGTGGGCCACACCCTGGCCGGGGTCAGACGGGCGGCAGCGAGCCCTTGCGCCTCCTGGGAGCGTTTACGGGTCGCGGGGAGTCCTGGGTGGTTGAGAGAGAAAAGGAAGGTTCCACATTAACACTGAATTGAAACTTTCGAAAAATTCCAATCGGGTTTGTAAAAAGGCACCAAACATTGACAGGACTGCCAAATTCTACTACACTTACTTGTACCCTGGAACTGACAGTTTTTAATTTAATGAGTGTTACTGAGTATGAGAATTACTGAAAATAAGCCTTAACCTCCGGCCCGTGGACTTCCGACTTCCCGCGCGTCGCCCCGCCCACCCGGCGCGTCGCCACGCCCCGTCCTCGCTACAGCTCCGCCCCCACGGCCTGCGCCGCC